CTTATTAGATCAGATTATTATTTCGTTTACCACAATGAACATTTTTTATTATTATGTTTGTTAACAAAAATACAAACAAACTAAAGAAAAGGGAAGAACATTGATGTCAATCGAATATGCATCCTCATTCATCCTGATTTTTGTGTGAAATCTACATCTTTTAGTCCACATAATTACGTGTTTATGGTCTTTCTTTTATGTGTTGCGTTATAACGTTTTGTGAAAAGTCTCTACGTGATGGAGAAAAATTGATGTCATTTTCGGATTCAGCGTACATATTTTTGGCGCTAAGAAAAAAATCTTTATGCATAATCGTATTTTAATTATTGGAATTTTATATTTTAACCTCTGTATTCTATTAAGATAAACATATTTTTTTGGATTTGTAAGTAATATATATATATTTTAGAAATAGTAATACTGTATACAGCTGGAAATCGTGATTTGCAAATAAATCAAAATGATTTCTTTACCTAATCTAATTCTTGTGAAATCAAGCATGACCAACAAAAAGGCAGAAAAGTGCAGTCGAGGCAGTCAAACGTTGGTAAATTCCTTTGTGAGCCAATCAAAATTAAAATCATTCACGAAATGAATTGGTGGCGTATTCATAGAATAATTATTGTTAAAAACTACTTAGATTAACAACTTCTAGTATATAGAAAAGCCAGTGCGTCTTGGTAACACTACTTTCCAACAATGACATTTATGTGATGTTGTGCTTAATTTTAAAATAAGCAAACAAACGTTTCACGACACACACATAAAAACATAATGTGCTATCATAATGGGCAGACAGTAATCGAACTATTCCATCTGGGTAAATGCATTTTGTCTTTTATGACTCATCCTATTTCGAGAACTCAAGCGTGACGTGATGTGACATACGGGCCTTTATATAGGTTAGATTTTTTTTATTATTATTATGTATTGAAATAATTTGACCTTCTTGTAGTTGGATAAGCTCATCCTCATATAAAAATTCATTACTAAATTACTGACTATATCAATGAAAAAATAATGAATTCTTAACATCTGAACACTTAATAAGTTTTTCTCAAATAATAGATTTTAATGAACATAAATCTTAGCGTTTAAACAAATCGTGAACATGTTGTTTCCAGCTTAAATTTTTATCACTTTCTAATCAAGTCTAAATATTTTATAATATCCACTCTTTTATTTCGAAAACATTTACGAATATTATTACTACCAGAAACGCTGCCCTCCGGCGGCTGTTTGTGCTAGTAATTACTAATTGTAGTATTCATACCTCATTGAACAAATTTAGACAAAAAAAAATGAACAATTTGTAAAAAAAGGGTTTTTTTGGGAAGTACTGCACGGGAAAAGTGTTCGAATTGTGCTGATATAAACTGTAATGTTTTTATATATTAAAAGTCGTATCCTTTATTGAAACAATACTAGTTTTTTAAGAACTCCATCTTTTAGTACTATATTTACAAATTACATCACTAAAGATATCATCAAACCCTCATGTGCAGTCCTAATGAAAAGACTTGTTATGAGGAGAGTCCTTTGATTTAAAATTGTGTTCTGTTATAAAGAAATGATTG